GTTAATTGATGCCCAACCACTGGGTCATATTTGTTGTCATATATTATTTTGATGCAACTGGTATCTATTGAAATGAGACCCCCTCCCCAAGATATGTAGTTAGTTATCGATTTGACATCAGCAAATTTTGCTTTGTGCTATTTGACTAGTACACTGTGCATTCGGGCTTTTAATCTCATCCTAATAATGTCATGTGTCTTTACTAAACTTCAGAAAGAAAGTTTTACTGATAAACATTGTGAGATACTGTTTGGGGAGGTGATTTCAGCCGAGGAGGCGTTCGAGTCGCTGGATAAAGATGAGGATGGACAGGTACGTGTTATGCCCAGGGATTTGCCATGGTTTAGACTTTTTGTGTTTGGAACACATAGACTTAGACTAACGGTCAACATAGACTTAGACTAACGATCAACATAGACTTAGACTAACGATCAACATAGACTTAGACTAATGGTCAACATAGACTTAGACTAATGGTCAACATAGACTTAGACTAACCTTCAACATAGACTTAGACTAATGGTCAACATAGACTTAGACTAACGGTCAACACAGACTTAGACTAAAGGTCAACATAGACTTAGACTAACGGTCAACATAGACTAAGAATGATTGTCATCATGGACAGATTCATACTGACTGTAAACAAAGACCAAGACTGACTGTACACATGGACTAAGACTAACTGTAAACATATTAGCTATTTGGGCTCTCCAGAAGTATTTGATCGTTGATGAATGTATATTCCATTTTAATAGCAATGTGGATTAACCTGAAGTGTTTGGAATGCATATCTGAACGGTTATTCGGGCTCTCCCGTAGTGTTTAATAGTTGACAAATTCTTTTAGGCCTACCAAGTTATTTGTTATATCGATTCCCCTAAAGTGTTGCTGATTTGTGTATTCATTTTCGATATTTTGTGCATTATTTCAGGTAGATTTTGGCGAGCTTATGGAATTTATCCAGAGAACTGGAATTTGTATGTTGGATACCTTTCAAGGTTACAGTCGTCAAGAAATCTCCGGTTTTTCTTCCTTCGTTGAACGAGTTCAAAATACCATTTTACTCAATTTAAAACGTGTCCATACAAACGTAAGTAGATACTTGCTAGATTTGGTGGTTTAATCCATTAAGTCATCGAATCCATCAGTATATCAGACTATACATGACACCTGCAGTAGCAGAAAGAGTTGGTAAAAAAAAAGTTTGTAACAACAATGTACCGTACCTCATTTCATTTTTAAGATATTTCAAAATATGATTTCTCGACAATTTTTGCTCAGAAATATGTATCAGAAAGAACCAAATCAAGTGTTACATTTTCAAAATCTTTCGGGAGAACGTTTACGTTCAACAGTGCTTCCAAGTCTGTAATCTCAACAAATGTATCAAAACGCTTGGACATCTACTGCTAATGTATGTACTATACTATATTAAGACGCCAAGGATGCTACTGTTTGTGCTTCTTAGGGGGTCCCCTAATGAATGTTGTTTAATTTGTTTCAGAGGGGTTATAACGCCGTGAAAGCTTTCCTTCAATATCACGTGATCAATAAAGTGATGGTCCCGGAAGTAGAACCACGCAGAAACTAGGCTACAAACCGGACAAACCAGAACTTGAGAATTAACAGAGAATTAAAAACGGAAGTATAATAGACCTACCATAAAACCTGAAGTTGATATATACAGCACTCTTTTCCTTTTAACCATGTGTTATAACTATTTCAAAATGGACACGTCCTGTGACCATAATTATTATGTACGCATGTATTATATATTCAGACGTATAAAATTTTAAAGTGATACTACGTCTTAGAATGAACATAAAATTGAAGAATTTTAAACTTGGCCAATACTCCTTTCTCAAAACGTATGCATATCTCCGCCCACTTACTTCACAACGAGGCTAACGTATGCATATCTCCGCCCACTGACTTCAGAGCGAGGCTAAGTGGGCAACGTGTTCAGCTGTAAACAAACATGGCCGACGCCACGTTAACGAAGCTGTGAAAAGAAGAGCTTGATGACATTGCTTGGTCACTTTTATAATGGTTTTCGATGTTAACGACTAAAAAATGTCAGGACGAATGGTCAAGCTTCAACTAGTTAAGTTTCAGCCAGGTAAGTCAGTCTGTGAGTAGAGCCTACTCTGATTAAAAGTAAAAGATGACTGAGTTACTAGCCTTACCTATACTCTCCTACAGCTGCGATTTGTTAAATGATATTTCGTGATTGGAAGGTAAGTGTAATCCTCTGGATTCAGTACAGTAGCCTACAGTGTAGGTAGAGTAGATCGAAGTAGGCCTGGATGTATGAATATGTGGTATTATGTACTCGAAAATCGAATTCGTCCCTTTAAAATATACATCAAGTGCAAAATGGATTATGAAACTAGAGCTGTGAACAGCTCCGAGTGTGGCAACGAGACCTTATCCCACGGATTTCAAGCCTTTTGTAACTTCTAGTCTGTTAGCTTTCAACTCCGTTGCTTTTATGCCTACAATTTTTGAACAAGAATTTCAAACATTCGGGTTTCTGATAAATAAATCAATGATATTTGCTTTTGTTTTTGTCACCATTTCATTTTTCTTCAAATAATTAATTATATCATCTTAATCATCCTACTCTGAGTCACTAAAAGTAAAAGATGACTGAGTTACTAGCCTAACCTATACTCTCCTACAGCTGCGATTTTTTAAAGGATATTTCGTGATTGGAGGGTAAGTGTAATCTTATCTGAACCAGAGAATATGCCCCCTCTGGATTCAGTACAGTAGCCTACAGTGTAGGTAGAGTAGATAGAAGTAGGCCTGGATTATCAACAACAAATCATTTATCAGTCTTAGTAGGGTAGGTCTGTCTTACTTATCCTCTTGGGCTTGGTCACTTCTTTGTGTCTTTTCTTAGCCATGGCACAGGCCTATTGCAGCTATGTTAGTTCATTACTAGCCTAGACAACTTAATAGTTTTCTTTAATTATCTTCAATCTACATAAGTAATTTCCTAAATACAACATCACACAGCCCCACCCCTGTCCAACAGACAAGTGCCCTACTGCATTTGGGCCAATTTGTCATAATTTTATACTTAAATAGCACCAGCAGGCTGTTTACACATACTGACATAGGCCTACGTGTGCTCGTTTTAACATATTAATGATGGCACAATAGTTTGCTCACATGATTTCCAATTGATTGCAGTGATGGACCAAATTGAAAAGATCTATACAATCCAAAACTAACTGGGGTAACCCATTAATGTAAGAAGTTTGCCCAGAAGATGTACTGGAGAAGATAAATATGTAGATGAATCAACTGATGTTTGATGATATCAATAAGGAACAACTCCTAAGGTGAGCCTTATTTGTCTTTTGTTTATTGGTAACATCATTTCTTAGAGATAAACCAAATAAGCATAGAAGTATGCCCTGTAGCTGCTGTAGTATCCACCGATTCGAAGTCAACATTCACAGTGTGAATACGTGATTTTATTGCGATATCGAAGTATACATATTCGATTATTCCGTTTCCGGTTTTGATATTTTTCTTGAGTGCGCCAAAAGATTTGTTTGGGCTGCGAAATTTGCGTAATTACAAAGGCTCATGGAGGTATCATTAGTTTATTAATTGTATATCTGTTTCGTTTTCGGTGTAACTTTGTGTATTCATTCGATAAGCTTATTCAAAATGATTATTTTGTATTTTTCAGTTTTCACGGCTTATTCGGCTTATTCGTCTTATCCGACTAGTATATATGGCTTAGTTTGGTTTATTGGAAGCCAGTATATTTATTGAAGTTTAGTCAAGATAGATATGAATGTTATATTGTTTGAGTAAATGCGATGCGTCCTTTTTATACTTTTATAATAAACTGTTACATTGGTTATTTGTGTTCAACCTGATAAGCCCGTCGAGACCCATGTTGCTTTGCGTCATAATGCTCCGGAGGTAGACCGCCCAACTACTTAAAGAGACATTACAGTGAAACTCCTCTGTCGGAGTAATATAATTTGTGTTTGCTTAAAAGCTGTGTTCGTTTTAAAGTGACAAACTTTGTAATCTTGAGCTAAACTGAAATTATCATTCAAAATGTCTAGCATTTCTAGTGCGTCATCG